CAGCCATGCATCAGCGCGACTGCTGCGCCCCAGGCCAGGGACAGCCATGGCCACGGGGTATCCTCGCCCACACTGGTGGCGTGGTATCTTCTGCCCCATGACATCCAAAGAGCATCTCTCACCAAGCGGGCAGCTGTGGACTCAGGATATAGCCTTGTGGTTATGGGTGCGACCAATATCCTGACACAGGTGTCCTGGCTAATTGCTCACGGACTGAAATAAATTGAACAGAAACCCAAAGAACTCTGCAAAATGCTGTAGTGAAAGGTCTGGGAGGAAGCTGGAGGCACATAGGCTGTATGGCTTTGTGGGCAGGGATGGGTGTCCGCAGGGGCATCTGGCAGAGGGTACCTGCTTTATGCTTCGCAGACAGGGCTATGCTGAGTAACCATCTTGTCTGTAGGAGGGAGCGCACTCCCAGGCTCTGCCTGCTGCCAGCTTGCAGCTGGGCTAATGCAAAGGAATGCACTCCCTAGCAACGCTTCTTTATAAATTATTTTTACTGGGGGATTTGAGTGTTGTTGCAGTGAATGTGTGTACAAATATTGGAAAAACAATGTGCACTAGAGAAAACAAAGTGAAAAACCACCCGGCTTCCTATTCCTCCTGGCTAAACCTGTGATTTCTCCCACCTTCTTGAGTTGCAGTCTAATACAATATTGTACAGCCTGCTGCCTCCTTAAATAATGCCTGCTGGAGAAGCAGACACTGAGTACATCACTCAAATCCCATGAAGTTTTTTAGCTTCCAGTTCCATATCCTGGGGAGTTAAATCTCTGGGAGAAGAGAATGACCTGGTGCTCTCCTGGTGCAGGGTAACTCCTGGCCTGGAGCTGGAGCTGGATATTTTGCAGGGGTTTCCAGTTTTACTGTCAGTCCTATTCTCCTGAGCTCCCAGTTCCCTTCTTCCAGCTCCTCACACATCTATCAGGGCTCAAATAAATGTGATATATTGATGCTTCACCAGTTTGAAATGAACTGCAATTACCAAACAGAGGATTCGTTTCATTTACCTCCAGCGATCTAGAAGTTAAGCATCTGGCTTCAACCAGTTGTCTATAGTCAGGAGAGAGGGATGGACACTGCCAGAAGTCAGTTGCCTTCCTACTTATTTTAAACACCTTTTTTAGGCTAGCATCAATCACACGCTGAAAGCCCTTGCCTTCCCATAGCTAGAGAGGAACCTACAAAACCAACTTTTAGATAATTAAGGTGCGGTGACTTGAAACCCACCCTCAATATTTGTTTATAAAGCAGCTGTGAAACATGAGATCGATGTGTTTAGGATTTTGATGGTGGAGCCAGAAGGGGGTGTGACGATCACCCATGGTGACTCTAAGAATAACAGCCTGGCCTCTAGCCTTTAGGTTTTGCTCATCTGGAGTGTTTTAGATTTTTTTAGTTGAAATCCAAAGAAGCATCTGTCACTTATAAAATGAATCTTGCCCTATAAATTGCTGCCTTCACAAATAACAAGGCTGTAGAAGAGGAGGAAGAAGGAGAGACTGAAGATGTCCCAAGAGAGAGAAGACCAGGAGGGGATTTTTAATAATTTAACAGCAACTGGAGTGTGAGCCCATGAGGTTATTTCTACACAGGACTTTGAACACACACCAAGACATTAAAACTTTCATCCCCTCTCTCTCTGAGCTGAATCAAAACTAATAATTTAGAGGACAAAGTCTCTTGAACTGCTTGCCATGGGTTATAAGGCTCTGTCGTATCAAAGTCGCCTGGACACGCCATCTCCGCAGGTGCTGGGAGACTGCGGGGACAGGGTGCAGGGACCCCAGCTGCACCGGGGTTTCTGTCCTCCTTCAGCTGCTCTGCTGCTGCCTTCAGATGCTTTAGGAGACTTTTGTTTGTGAGCTGCGCTCCAGCTTTCGCCCGGCGGAGTACCATGTGTGTAGCAGCAGCTCAGCAATGTGAGTAATGCCGCTGAGCAATCAGAAAGCGGCAGCGGGGCTGGCAGCGCCAAGCCAAATTTGGATGGTTGCAGATGAAAGCCAAGAAGAGCAAACAAAACCTGAGACAGAGGCAGCCTTCTTGCCATCCAAGCGATGCAGTCAGAGCAGCCACTCGTTTCTTGCAGTGCTTAAGTGGCTCAATTAAGTTGAACAAGTAAAATAATTCCTAAGGGATGTGAGTCTGTTGAACACACTGAGCAGAGAATAATGCACATTGTTGAATGAGGTGCCTGCGGAAAGGACCCCTCTTTGCATAGCAGGGAAGCCCTTTTGTGCCATGGTGGGGCTGCCCAGACATACCTGAGCTGGCTTTTAACCAGCTGGCTGAGGCGCTGCTAACAGAGCCTCGCACGGGCTGCGCACAAACCCTTCATGAGAATTTGCAGAAGGGGACCCTGTGGCCGCAGCCTTAGCAGAGCCGTGGCCGGGCTCAGGCTGGCTCAGGTCGGTCAGGACTCACGTGCTTGCTTCGGCCGGGCCCTACCCGCAGACAGCCTCTGTCTGTCTTGTCAGCTCTGGAGCCAGTTGCTGTGCCCGTGTGAGAGCCAGCAGCGGTTACCAAGTCAATCTGAAAGTTGCTAGTTCTGGCTACAGGCTCTGGTCCTGCTTTGTTGTCAGGATGCCGCAGGACCAGACAGCTTGGAGTCTAGACTGCAAGGGTGTTTAGCATCTAATATCTTTGGCTGTGGGACCACAGACATCTCCCTTTCCTTTAGGAAGAGGCTCACAAATAGCGCTTTTCCCGCCCTGCCAGCTGGATCACATTTGTGGCATCTTTGAGAAAGAAGAGCATTGCCTTCAACGCTGAATATCTAATGCTATAGGAAACTTTTTCAGGCTTTTTCTGGATTTGCATGCCATGTAAACTGTTCTCAAATCCTTAGACACCTAAAGGAAGCCAGCTCTAACCTTGGTTGATAAAGCATTAGCAGCTGCACAGTAGAATTTTCTGAAGTTATCTGCACAGAGGAATACGGCTATGTGTCTTGCTCAGTTCTGCTGAGATTTTCATCAATATTAGGGCATGAAAGGTTACTACTGGAAAACAACAGGATAAATCAAGTAAAACTATCAAGACTGGGAGAATATGCTATTTACTTACTACCATGTCAAATTGAAAGTGGGAAAGATTGGTAAAAATGAAAAATATTCCTTTTATTTTTTTTAACCATAGAGCTTTCCCCTTTCTTTCCTGTCCTGTATTTCCTAATGAAATGAGGAAAAGTGATAAACTTTTCTTTACTTTTGCTTTTTTAGTCTAAACTACAATAGCTAAATCAAAAGCCAAAAATTTAAGACACTCCTTTTATCTCCTTTTGTTGAAACACACAAAATTAAAAGGTAGTGAAGGCCATCTATGAAATGTCTTTTCACCTTTTTTGCTAAACACATCAGAGCCTGATCAGCCCTAGAAAAAAAAAAAACTACAAAACCGTGATTGAACAGGGTAGTTGCTTTGTCTTTCAGGCACAGACTCAAAAATATGGATAGGTTTATATATAAATATATATACAGTAACCAAAACCTCAAATTCAAATACACCTGAGCTTTGGGGAAGTTTGTATATTCATTCAATCTTTGTGGCTTAGGCTCATCTGTAACAGAAATATTTGCAAATAGACAGAATACTTCCTCTTTAATCTTATCTAGCGATCTGTCTGTTTGTCTGGGTTTTTCCTAGAGATGGCCTCAGATCCTGATATCTGAGTGCTGCATGGCTAAATTAAGGTGAGATCATACCAAACTTCACAGAGGTTTTTCTTTCCCCTTGTTTGCCATGAGCATTTCTTTCATTTTAATTCACTGGGATGAAAGACAGAGCAGCCACGTAGCCTGGCTCAGCCTCCGCCGGCCCCGTGCTTGGTCCACCTTTGGGAAAACATCTTATTTTGACTGATGGTTATTTGCTCTATGGGCAGACTGTGGCTGAGATGCACAAAATGGCTCTGCGAGAGCTGTGAGTCCTCTTTCCTGGGGCTCTTCCAGAGTGCCGAGCACATCCCGACCTTTGGCTCCCAGCTCTGCTGCCTCTGCCAGGCCAGGCAGGGTCCAAGGGTACCTCACCAGCTGCTCTTCAGCTCACGCATCTCGGAGGGGCGAGTCCTGGATTCACGCCCAAGAGCTCTTTCCCCATCCACAAAGAGGATTGTCTGAGGTTTCACGCCTTCAGTGCCACCTTTAGGCAAGCCACTGCAGCTTGGCAATAGGGGAAAGATGGTGAAATGTCGGGATCTATCTGTGTGTGCCTGGCTAATTGCTGTAAATTAGCTTGGCCCATTTATGCCCTTGAAGAACCCCAGGCACCACTGGCAAATAAAACAAATACACTCCAGCTAAGCGCTGCACTGCCTTCGGTTCACAGGCTCTCAGAGGACAAGAGCTTGATGAGGCTGTTTGGTAGCTGTTCAGACCAAGTACTGCTTAGACAACTACCCTGCATTGTATTTTGAACAATTGGCCCTTACCTGCGTTGGTAATTGCAATTACCCCTGAGATTTAGTGCACCGGGAAGGGCTCCAACTTCAACAGAGCCGTGCCATGCAGCATGGATAGGGAGAAATAGGATAATTTTTCAGAGTTTTATTGTGTTCTTTCCTGTCTGTGTCCCCCCCCCGTTGCTCAGAGGGGTTTTGTCACCTCCCCGAGCATTTTGTCGTGGGTAACTTCTCACCACTTCAGATTCTCTGCATTCACTGTGTGAGACCTCACCGATTCCTACCAGTGCTCATGTGGTTAATGGGTGAGAGGAGGGGAGCGAGCACATCTGAAAGGAATGCAAGAAATATAAACAATTTTATTAACAAGACCACAAAACTATTTTTTAATATGCAGCCATTTACAAGGAAGAAATAAACAAACAAACAGAAAAACCCACTGAGGAGACATGGTCAGTGTGGGAGAGCACAGCGAACTGGCAGAGATGGTATGGGCAGGTTTGGGTAGGGTCCCTTTCCTCCACTCTACCTCCAACGTGGGCCGTCCCCAGCCCACGCCAGCCCCTGTGAGCAGGGTCAGCCAGTGCACAGCCCGCCACTAAGGAGGTGGGGTGCCACGCGTGTCCTGCTGCGGTGCCAGTGACGACGCCAGCTGTGTCAGGGCTCGGGCGATGACGGAGAGATGGCTGTTCATCGTCCGCAGCTCTGCCAGGATGTCGCTCACATTCGCCGATGCCTGCTCAGAGCCTGGGGGCTCAGCATGGGCAGCCGGTGGTGAGGAAGGAGCCCCTAGAGCCCTGTCTCCAATGGGTGCTGACTGGGGATTTCCATCATGGGAGGGGTGTGGAGGTGTGCTGCTGCAGCGCTTCATGCCCTCCAGGGAGCCCGTTCTTACAGGTGGCTGGTCTTCCTCCTTCCCTCGAATGGTGGCAAGTGTTGCGGAAGCGAGGAAGGGCAGCCAGTTGATGAGGTGGGTGGTACTGCCAGCTGGGACTACTGGCAAATAAAGTCCAGGGTGCAGGGATGGAGTAGAGGTGGGTGGTGCAGGAAGAGAAGGGAGTCCAGGGTGAACAGTGGCAGCAGAAGCTGATGTTGATGGTGGAATAGGAGGTGGTTTGGGATGTAAGGCTGCAACACAGGCAGGTAACGGTGGTGAAAATGATGCAGTACCCGTGTCAGAGGAAGAAGAGGGTGATTCTGGAGCTGTGAAAGGTCCAGGTTCTTCAGACATTGGTGGTGAAGTGGCAGCAGGCGGAGCATCAGGCGTGCAAGGGTCTGAGTCTGCAAGGAAGACACGTTATGAGCTTTGATTCACATGTGTACTTACATACATGGACCGTTGCTTGCTGTCATTTCAGTGGGACAAGGCCTTTTTGATGCAAGGGGGAATTTCATTAGCTGGTAGTGATACTCTCTGTAGGCCAACTAGAAAAGAACAGACATACTCAAAGACAAGAGCCTACTGTAGGTAAACATGCAATTATCTGAATTATCCTTCCACTCTCATTTTTCATAAAGCCTGTAGACAGGCCTTAACATTTTTCTGGTTGACATCTCATATGTATGCATTAGCTGGTGAATTACGCACTGTTTTCCTGGCCAGTCATGGAACAATAGTAATGTCCTAACACTCAGATGTCCTGTGGAGGTGTGAGGGCTGGACGGCTGCTGCCAGAGCCAAAGTTAATTGCTGCTTCATAGAGGGTCCCAGTTTTCAGCATTCTGGTTTGAACAGACAGGTCAAAACCAGAAACAGCAAGAGCTAGTTGATGGCTTAAAATCTTCAATAATTTTATTTTTTGTGTGGAAGCATGACATAGTTCACAAAATTAAACTTAGACATAGATCCCTGCCTGTAAATATTTAGCAGCTTCAGCTATGAAAATCAACAAAGAGACTGAAGAAAGAATTTGTGACACTGTGCATCTCAGCTTGACATCTATGCCACCTTGCAAAGCAGTTCAGTGTACCTCATCCAATGTCCACTAAAGTCACTAGAAACGTGCTTGCTTGCACCAAGTTCAACATATACAGTGTAGGATGACGGAGCAGCCTCTGGGGAATATGTAAAGAGTTGGAGAGCCATGCTATGGACCAAGGTCCTCTACCCACTGTGCCCAGTTGGTAAATACTGTAAGGTAAAGATGAACCTATTTTTACAATAATTCTGAAACCAGGAATATAGCAGGAAATGTTAGCCTTTCAACGGCCTCAAAGATTGCATAAGTGGAATTACTATACCATGCCACAGATCTTTATTTTAGCATTGGGAACACATTATACAGAAGGTGGTGAGATGCTACAGGAATGGTCAGTGTAAGACAGATGGATTTTAAAACTACTTCTGCTGCAATTAAGTGCAAATTTTAAGGCACTGCTGTGGATACAAAGACACAAATTGATAGATTTATCTAGGTTAAGACAACCTAGAGAAAGCCAAGTACTGAGGTGTTAACACCATACTACTATTATTTCTGGCATCTAAAAAATCTGATGTGAGAAATCCGTTTTCATTACTGGCTGGTTTGGTATTCCAGATAGCAGACTGAAACTGTGAGTCAAAAGCAAATGAAGGCTTTTTCCTGTCATTTCTAACACCAAACCAACTGGATATGCAGCCTACAAAAGTCCATCTTTGTTCCACATGGGACCACCATGTTTTCCCTAACCAAACACACATGTTGGTTGGAGGGGATTATGACACAAAATTCAGCATGCCCTTACGTCCCTGAGATTTTATGGAAAGTTACTGCAGGTTACTTGAAACAGTTTCCTTCCTTTGTGTATTGGCTTTCTTCCCAACACAAAGTCCCTGCCTACACAGGCGCTCGATCCCTGTTCACTAGAGGTGGGCTGAGGATGCTGGATGTTGGGTTTCCAGAATGTTATTGATTGGTCTTTGGTTTTTCAAAACAAAAACAAAAATAAAGCATAGTTCAAATACAGGTTCCATTTCCATCCAAACCACCAAAGTTTGCAAAGGGTGAGATGAAAGGTTTAGGTTTGGCTCAACCATAGTGTTAACCAGAACAGTGTTTATGGTCCATATATAGCATGGCTAATCCCTGTCCACACTGGCCAAACAAACCAAATTAAGTGTAATGTTTTTCCATACATGGGAGAGCAGAGGAAGCTTGACAAACCTGGAGGTAATCTGTTTTAGCACTGTGACAAATAACTGTCACGAATGATTCTTAAATAGTTAAAGAGTAATTGGGTTAAAATACAAGGAGTAGAAACTAACACAGACAAAAATAGAGAGAAAAATCTGGTCACCAAAGGCACTTCTTTCAGCTGCAATCTTTCCAAACAGTGTGGCTTCCCTATCAGAAGCCACAGCTTTGTCATCCCCCTAATTCCCCCCTTAAAGTTTATTTATGCCATGCAGCCTTTTAAACACATCCTGCTCAGCTTCATCAGGCTCCCATATTTCCATCTAAGAAATTCCACATGGGTGTCTGGGCACCCGTGCAGGGATCCTGGTGTATCCAGGACATGTGGAAGCTGTTGCACTGCTCAGATCAACAGCCAGGTATGTGCACAGCTGACATAGTGCAGAGTGCAGAGTAACTGCTTGTCTGGACAGAATCTGACCCAACTGCTCAATACCCAAAGACCCAAACTGATGATGAAAATTGCAGAATCACAGAATCACTGAGGTTGGAAGGGACCTCTGGACACCGCCTAGTCCAAACACCTGCTCAAAGCAGGGTCAGCTAGTGTCAACAATTTTTTCTCCATGGACAAAATTGCTGAGGCATGTTTGAGAAAGCCCAGGAATATGGAAGTCCTAGGCACGATGAAGCATGGAGCAAGCTACTACAGTTGCTTGTCATATACAACAGGATGATTCTGTTTATTTCCTTGATCCCTAATTTTGTTTGTTTTATGTGAATGTTGCAATTCATCACATCTCCAGTGCTTGCTTTTTTCACTTTTTTGTACAGCCCCAGCAAAAAGAGAGTCATCTTAACTGGAGCATCCAGGTGCACGCTCATTCCTGGGGGTGTTAGATCTGCAGCTAAGTGGGGTTGGATGGATCCTGCGGAGAATAGAGATGCTGAAGACAAGGTGCTCAGACAAGTACAGTGACCTTCCCTAAAAATAACAACTCACCTGTGCATGGTCATTTAGCATCCCCCAGTACACCCAGTCTACAGAAGATGGGTAGGTACTATAGCATACGTCCACATGCAAAGACTGACTGTTCAAGGTAGACTTCTAACTTAGAAGAAAACCTATTTCACCAGTTAGGGAAGTTAATCCAGGACTCAGAAAACCTGGGTTGGGATCCAGTTCATCTAAACAACTGAACTGTAAGAGCCTAGTGAAGAAGTTCCCTGAAAACACCTGCATTTTCTATGTCGTATGTAGAGGGAAAGCCCCCAAAGGAAAAGCTTAGACACATCGGCTGTATCTCTCTGAACAGACTCAGAGTCACTTCTTTCTCCTGAGTGCATAGGGAGCTTGGCCTCATCTTTTTAGGAGAATGGGTTTACTGAGATGGGATTCATGTCACCTTTAGCTTTAGCAGTCTACGATATAGATATCTGCGTCTTATCTAATTCCCTAGCTTTTCTTCACAGTCAGTGGATGAAATAGGTCTAGCACTACCTCTTTATTGCTAGAATGAGAAATATGTGTCCTCATCTCTTTGCTGGGGATAACGTAGGATGACTAACTCAGATGTGGATGCCATGCACTGAAAATGCCTACATTTCAAAAGAGAAATCCTATAGCAGATGCATAAAAATAAGAAGGGTGCCCAGCTTAGAAACACTGGATGTCTAACATTCACTACTCTCCTGATCTACTACAGATCTCCCAAACACAAAGCAGTTGCACATCTTTGTGTTACCTATTTGCAAGTAATAGGAAATAATTCTGCGCTGCCAACTCTGAGAGGACCTTGGGGGGTTAAAAACTCACAGGACTGTGAATAGGCCAGGTGATACAACAATGAGAGAGAGCAGAGGAGCACCTCCAGGAGAGGATTTCCTGGTATGTTGCCTGCCCATGATGACGGAGGTTACCAAAAGATTAATGGTCTGCCCTGTGAGAATGGGGAAACTAAAGTTATTTTAAATGCATTTATCTGTATGAGAAGAGCATGCATTTAACTTTTCAGGCAGTTTTGGCTATCTTAGCTGCTTTTGTTTGACTACTGATTTTATCTGCCTTGCAGCCAAATTGCTGCAAACTATGATTTCTTAGTCTTTTGTCAGCTAACAAGGGAAAGGTCTGTGAAGGAGAAACCTTGAGGGAAAAGCAGGGGCCTGACTTTCCACTGGCTAGCACACTGCATGGGATTCAGCTCATCTAACATTAGCTGGCATCTAACATTAGCTGGCATCTAGTGCAAGGCAGTCACGTGGACTCCAGCAGAGAAAGAAGCACCTCTGGGGATAAGCCATCCCAAGCTATCAGGTCCCTAAGAAGGGTGGGAGAATCATGCTGTGGAGTGTCCCTCTCCTTCCAGCACTTCTTGCAGGACTAAGTCAACTATCTTAGTTGGGCTGACTAACTTCTAAATGGCTGAAGCTGGGTGAGCTGGATTCCTCACTTTACATATAGACGTAGCAAGTAATTTCCTATCAAATCAAAATAGTAGATGGGTAGTGCTGTCTCTGTGTTCCCATGGAAGGCATAAAACCATGGAAATAAGATTTAAGGCACAAGAAATGGAGACTTAGGCCCCTAGAGTGCTTCAAGAAATGAGCTGGTGGTTCAGAAGGTGATAATCTTTCAAGTGAGTCAGCACTGAACAAACAACCTATTTCAATGATAAGGATATTAAGATGTTGAAATGAGTAATGAAGTCCCTTCAGTGACACAGTAACCTGCAGGAGGCCTTTGTGCACTGTCCTTTCTGCTCGGGTTTATGAAGTGGCTCTAAAGCTAGCAGCATCTGCGTGTGTGTCTGTGAGACCAAGTGCGTGCACGCAGTCCCACTTCATTTTGCAGCTGCTTCCCAAGAACGTCTAAATATACGCCTGCCTCCTCTTTCTGGTAAGAAGTGAAACTGAAGTCCTAACAGCTTGTGGTAAATGAAAGTCCAATAGCAATGTTTGCGTAAGTGAGGGCGGTACTGCTTTTGCACGGACAAAGTCCATCTTTGGGATCTGAATCTGAAGCCATCCTTCCTGTGCTGCTCAGATTTTATTCAGTTACAGAGTGGCATTGCTTCCCACTGCTGGTCTGCAGACAAGCTTAGAAGGGCTTCGAGCTGTAAATCAAGTTTAGAAGGGATTAAATTACAGCATTGGGCAAAGGGACTACTG